ATGAAATGAAATGTATACACATAATTACCTACCTAGTCGACTCAACGGCACAAAACAACAACAATAGCATAATTCTTTAGAAAGTAATATATTGTTTCGATGATAAAGGAGGACTAAAAGGCAAATTATTTATAATAAGATAATATAGATAATATAGATTTCAATATGTAAATCCAGATCCACTAGAAGACATAATGAAAGTCAGATGCTTATACCTAGACATATTAACAGCTATAAAAGAAGACCAATACAGGTTCATTTTGATGGAGACTTCAAAAATGTAAGCAGTATTGCTATTGGTGATTTGCTTTTCTGAGCACATGAACAGATTGGTAAAGTTCCTAATTAAACAAAGTAATCTTTTCTCTGTTTTCAAGAGAATGGCATGTCTAAAAAATTCAATATTTATTAAAAATATTTTATGCTTTTATATAAAACAGAATTAGGCTTCTAGACATGGGTAATAATAAACAATTTTCCCTCTATATGAATGTTAGTTAGGCTTAAAGGATGTATGGAGTATGGCATCCCTGTGACAACCAAACCCCCTACACACACACATTTTCAAAATGCCCCAAAAGGTAATTTGTTCTACCATCTCTATACTAGTTGCTTTGGGTTGATGTAACAAAGTACCAGAAACAGGGTGGCTAAAAACAACAGAGATTTCCTGTCTTAGTTCTGAAGACTAAACATCTGAAATCAGGTTATTTGGTTCCTTCCAGAGCTTCTAAGGGATAATCTGTTCCATTCCTTTCTCCTCTCTCATTATTGCTGCTGACAAACCTTGACATTTCTTGACTTGTGGATGTGTCACTTGAATTTATGACTGTCTCTATGTGGCCTCCTCCGTGTGTCTACATCCAAATTTCCTTCTTATAAGAACATCAGGAGCTCTGGTAGCATAGCACTTAAGGCACTTGACTGCTAACCAGAAGCCTGGCGGTTCAAACCCATCAACCACTCCTCAGAAGGAAGATGGGGCAATCTACTTCCGTAGTGATACCACCACAGAAACCCAAGGAGGGGTTGCTATGAGTCGGGGCCGACTCGACGGCACATGACAACAACAACAGTGTAAGAACATCAGTCATGGGATTCAGGCCCACACTGTATGGCCTCACTTTAACTTCATTACAACCGCAAGGACTCTATTTTCAAATTAGGTCACATTCATAGGTTCCATGTGTAGGCATGGATTTTTTTTTTTTTTTTTTGAGGGCTATGTTATTATTCAACCCAGTATAATGCCCCAGAACCACTATTCTAGGCCAATGCTGGAATTAACCACTCAGAGACCAGAGAGTTCAGTGATCTTTGTTGTTGGAATTGCTTACCTTTAATGCATTGTTAAAGTCTAGAGAAAGAAACCATGTGTCAATCAGACAATTATGGAGGCTAGTTTTCCACTGTAGACAGATGGCCAAGAAAGCCACACTTCTCCCTCTCTGAGGAAAAATCCTAGAAGGGGAGATGTGGAGATAAGCAGAGTGGAGAGGATATGACAAGAAAGTAGGGGAGTGTATGTATGTGTCCAGAGGGAAGGGAAGGGAAGAACGTTTAGCTATGGATCCTCATTTCCCACTTTTTCATCTGAGGATTTGGAACCAAACAGAATTAGGGTCTCACACACACTAATTACTTTGGAGAGGAGTGTAGTGGGTGAGTGATGTTCTCTGAAACAGCCAACTTAAAGATGGAAAAAAATTTAGAGTATTGTGATTAAGCCTGGCTATATTTTGAAAACCTTAGGTACCATCCCCTCCTCCTGCCGTACCCTACAATCAACAGTCATTGCTGTCAAAAAATTCCTCTTCTGCATTTTCCCAGAAAGTCTCCAATGGATTTTGTTCATTCTCTTCAGTACCATGTTAGACAAGAGGCTAAGGCCATACCTAGCTTTTTCAGGCTTTCAATAAATACTCCACAACAGTAGGAGTCTTTACAGATAAAGAAGCTCCAGAAAGTTGTGTGTGTGTGTGTGTGTGTGTGTGTTTAGTACATCACTGGTAACACATATCCTCTGCTACACTATACCCAATTTAAAATTTTTGAGAGATCTCTGGTGACAAAGAACTCCCAAGATGAAGCCAACCAAGGAAATGCTCAGCTGAGGCCTGTCATGGTGCTAATAGCTCTCTCCTCCCCCAGCCTTCATCTGCTGTTGGAGCCCATACTTCCTCTTTGATATTCTGGACAATTTCAGTGTCCTTCCAGACACCAAGGAGCGCTTCTATGCCTCTGTGATTATTCAGAACTTGCCTGCTTTGAACAGCGCCATCAACCCTCTCATCTACTGTGTCTTCAGCAGCTCTATCTGCTACCCCTGTGGGTAAGAGTCCTTGCCTTAGTCCAACACACTGTTGGTTCTGGTGTGTATATTCCTCATTCCAAAACTCCCCAGCAGGTTATAACATCCCTATTTAAAAGATGAGGCACCTGAGTGTCAGAAAGTTTCAATTACATGCCCAAGATCACCTAGTGTGACAAATTCAAACCCAAACCCAAGACAAGGCTGATGATTTTCTACTATACACATCACCTCCAATAGCAACCCTCTTAATCATGACACATTTAGAGGACATATATCTGTTCAAAGCTTCTCCAACATGAATTGCCTGAATACAGTACTGTAATATTAGTACAAGAGGGGATATTTTACAGATAACAAAATTAAGGCACAGGCAGTTAAACAAACTTATTGAAATTATATGAATAATTAGTGGCAGAGCTGCAATTAGACCCCTCAGCCATTTTGCTATTTTCAGCTAACTTACTGTACAAGTGTCAGTGAATAAGTGAAGAGATCAATAAACAAACAAACAAAAAAATCACTGACATTGAGTCGATTCTGATCATAGCAACCCTCTTTGGGTTTCCAAGGCAGTAAATCTTTATAGAAGTAGATTGCCCAGTCTTTCTTCCATGGAGTGGCTGGTGGATTTGACCACCAACCTTCTGGTTAAAAGTCAAATGCCTGCGGGGCAAGATGGCGGACTAGGCAGAAGGATTGCACAGACCCTCTTCAACAAAGAAAAGGGAAACCAATTAACACAG